TGAGTACTGTGGAAAGAGATTAGAAGAGGCCGAGTCGGGATTCCAGATATAAGGCACTTGATGGTAGATCAAATTAGGATGGTTGCCTGTAGATAAGAAATAAACATTGAAATGTATTTTGTGTGTGTGTGTGTGGTGCTGGGGATTGAACCCATGTCCTTGTGCATGCAAGGCAAGCACTCTACCGACTGAGCTATATCCTCTGCCCCTTATTTTTGTTTTTACTCGTAGTGGGGATTGAACCCAGGGCTGCTCTACCACTCATCTACATCCCCAGTCCTTTTCTATTTTTTTTTTTTTTCTATTTTGAAACAGGGTCTCACTAAGTTGCTGAGGGTCTTACTGAATTGCTGAGACTGGCTTCAAACTTGTGATCCTTCTGCCTCAGCCTCCTGAGTCACTGGGATTACAGGTGTGTGTCATTGCACCCGGCTTGGAGAAGGGTTTTAGAGGTAGAATCTGGAGGATTTGGTGGTGAATTACTATGGCAGATGTGAAGGGAAAGTACCAAACAAGAGACTGGTAAGCGAGAAATGAAAGAAACCAGGCAGAGATACACCCAAGAGTTTATTAGTTCATCTCTCTAGGAGAGAGAGGCAGAACAGGCTTGAGTTCTGGGACTCTTACAGGGAAGGCTCAGGAATCAGAGCTGGCGGGTCCTAATTTGGGCAGTTAAGGGTTGGTTGGTATGAGAGAGTGGTGAGCCCTTCTCAGAAAGGCCTTTGGGCGGAAAGCGAAACTTTTTTCCTTAAAATGGCAGCTGTCACTTAAGATGGCCATTCAGATGCTAAACAAGGACTTTATAAGATGAGCACTGAAGGTGCCAGGTGGATGGATATTCAGAGTGAGCACCAGTGTGACTAGAGCCTGGCTTCCTTTCCAATTGAACATGCACCAGCCACAGCCAAGTTTTTATGCCTAGTAAATTTCTAATGGAGTAGCTGAATGAAAAAAAGCTAGCAGAAAAGTAAAATGAAGGGGATGGGCTGATGGATCAAGAGTTTGGATTTTGGCTGGGCACCATGGCACAGGCCTGTAATCCTAGCCACTCAGGAGGCTGAGGCAGAAGGATGACAAGTTTGAAGCCAGCCTGGGCAACTTAGCCAGACCTTGGAGGAGCTGGGGCTGTGGCTCAGCGGTAGAGTGCTCAACCTGGCATGTGTGAGGCTCTGGGTTCTATCCTCAGCACCACATATAAAATAAAGGTATTGTGTCCAACTACAACTAAAACATAAATATTAAAAAAAATTAAAAATGGAAAAGACTGAGGATGTAGCCCAGTGGTAGAACACCCCTGGGTTTAAGCCCAGTACTGCTAAAGAATTTTTAAAAATTTGGATTTTATGGTGTTAATTAATTTTTGGCGGGGGAGGGGTAGGATGGAGTGGGTACCTAGGATTGAACTCAGGGGCACTCAACCACTGAGCCACATCCCCAGCCCTGTTTTGTATTTTATTTAGAGACAGGGTCTCTCTGAGTTGTTTAGCACCTCGATTCTTGCTGAGACTGGCTTTGAACTCATGATGCTCCTGTCTCAGCCTCCCAGCTGCTGGGATTATAGGTGTGTGCCACCACACCTGGCTTATGGTGTTAATTTTGTTATCCTTTTGAGATAGTAAAATACAGATCTCAAATTGTCAATCGGGTGTAGCAGACTAAGAGGGTGTTTTCAGTATACTGCTGGCATTTAAAGCCATGGGAATGCATGTGCTGTCCCTTGACCCTGAGTGTGCAGATGGGAGGTGGGCCCACAATTGAGCCAGGAAGTGAGTAGAGAATAACAAAGAGATGGAAAAGCAAACCTCAGCGGCAGGAGGAAAGCCAGAGGGAAGAGGTCATGGACATCTGGGCCAAGTAAAGGGGCTAGAAGCTGGAATAGAGCAGGTTTATGAAGACAGTGTACAATAAGAATAGGTAGAGTGTCAGAGATCATGGGCCAAGATGACACTGCCAGTAAACTTGCTGTGGAAGACGGCAGAAAATGCTGATGGTGAGGTGAGACTTGTGATCAGGGAGGATCTGACATTTCCTCCTCAAGCCTGTTGTCCTACCTCTGAGTTCCTGCTGTCATTCTTCATATGTGGTGTTTCCGGAGGATCCTCTAACTTGTGTAGCAGTTTCCCCCAAGGTAGGATGCTCCACCCAACATGTGTTGAGCCAGCTGAGGCAGACCTGTTACCTTTTTTTATTATTTTTATTTTTTTAGTTGTAGATGGACCCAATACCTTTATTTTGTTTGTTTTTATGTGGTGCTGAGCCCCCCATGCCTTTCTTGTGCTCTTCTACTCAACAAATGCAGCTGTAACGATTAGGCAGCTCTGCCCTCTGTTGACCGATTCTGAAATTGCTACCAAATCCAGCTCATACGTCAGCAAAGGTCCCCTCAGTACTCACAATGAGCCCTGCAGTCAGCCCTCCATGTCCTTGGGTTCAACCACCCTCAGATTGAAAATGTATTTACGCCTAGGACAGTTGCTTCTGCACTGCACATGTGCAGACTGTTTTTTGTCCTTATGCCCTTAACAATGTAGTATAACTATTTACACAGCATTAGGATTATAAGTAATCTTATAAAGTATTACAAATAATTATAAGGAATCTTAAAAAGGGCTGGAGATGTGGCCCTGGTCACTAGAAGCATATACAGGAAGATGTTCGTAAGTTATATGCATACATTATACTATTTTTTTTTCACTTGAGCATATGCAGATTTTGCTATCCTGGCAGGTCCTAGACGTAATCTACAGATGGCAAGGTACCTAGAAGCAGGACCACTGGTCAGAAACATGTAACCAAGGAGCTCCTGAGAATGAAGGTGTGGCCCTAGTTGAGGTAGAAGACAACTCCAGGAGAAGGAGGCAAGGCGGACTTTTACGATTCCCATTTAATAGATGAGGAAGCCCAGCATCATTAAGTGGCAGAAACTCAGTGCTGAAACTCCATCCTGAGCCCCAGTACAGGCTCTCGGAGCTTTATTTCTTCTCAATGCCTTAGAATGTTATTTGCAGAATACAAACACAATGTAAATAATCTAAATGTCATTATCCTATTATACCTTTGGTTAGGACCATCTAAAATGCAAATCTCAGGAAGTCAAAGACGTCCATTCTGTCACTCACCAGCTATTTATCGAACACCTCCTTATGCCAGGCACTATTCTAGTGATATGAAGACAGCAGTGAACAAAGCAGACAACTGTCCCCGCCCTCACATTCTCATATGCATTGGTAGATAATAAATAAGATGAATGAAGTAAAACCTACACCATTTATCGGGTAGCAGTGGTGGTAAGAAGTAAACCAGAAGCAGGGAAAAGGAGACATGAAAAGCTGGACCAGGATGTTGGTGTGGAAATTTTAGAGTGCTCAGAGAAGGTGACTTTGAAGACCTGAGGGAGCAGCCAGGTACAGTGGTACACACCTGTAATCCCAGTGGCTTGGAAGGCAGGAGGATCACAAATTCAACACTGGCCTCAACAAAGTAGTGAGGCCCAAAGCAACTTAGTGAGATCCTTTCTCAAAATAAAAAGTGAAAGGGACTGGGGATGCGGCTCACTGATAGAGCAGCCCTGGGTTTGATCCCTGGTACCCAGAGGGAAGTGAAGGAGCTGGACATGCAGATGCCCCATGCAGAGCATTTCAGGGGTAGGGCAGGGTAGCTTGTGCCAAGGCAGGAAGGGATCTGGCCTGTGAGAAGCAGCAAGCAGGCCAGCTACTGGGGCAGAGTGAATGCAGAGGAGATCATTAGGAGAAAGGGTAGAGGTGTCACAGCAGATCACCTGCAGATGAGCTTGTCAGTCATAGTAAGGACTTCAGCTTGTGATCCAAGAGAGTCTGGTTTCCTTTAGATGGTTTTAAGCAGAGGAGTGAAATAATTTGCTGTGTTTTAACAGGCTGCAGTGGACTGGGGCCAAGGCAGAGAGATAACCTGCTCTATTTTGTCTGGAGTTTTACAACTCCAGACAAAAGATATTTTTGAGGGCTGGAGTTGTGGCTCTGGGGTAGAGCACTTGCCTAGCATGTGTGAGGCACTGGGTTCGATCCTCAGCACCACATAAAAAATAAACAAATAAAATAAAGTTAAAAAAAAAAAAAAAAGGTTTTTGACCAGGTGCCTTGGTGAACACCTATAATCCCATCAATTTAGGAGTCTGAGGCAGGAAAATCAGAAGTTTGAAGCCAGCCTCAGCAACTTACCAAGGCTCTAAGCAACTTTGTGAGACCTATCTCAAAAAGAACTGGGGATGTAACACAGTGGTAAAGTGACCCTGGGTTCTATCCCCAGTACCAAAAAAAGTGGGGGGATGCTTTTGCAGATTAGGCCTATAGAGTCTTCTGAGGGTTGAATGTGGGTTGTGAACACCAAGGTGCTCATGAAACTGGAATCAAGCGGCAGGCACTTGAGAGGAGGAAGGCTGCAGGCCCTAACAGCCCAAGAATCAGGCTTGGGCTACCTGAGAAACACCCACTAGAGATGTCAGGTTGGTGCTTGGCTATATGGGTTTGGAAGTAGGTAAAAGGAGGATCCAGGGATTATCATCACTTAGGTGGTACTTAAATTCGTGAAACGAGTCATATGTCTGAAGGAACATATGAAGATGGGAAAGATAAGACTAAATGCTTGAGGACCGAGCCTTGTGACACTTGGATAGTTCAAGGTTGGAAAGATATGAAGGAATGGCTAGAAAGGTGGACAGGAAATTAGGAAGGTGTGAGTCCTGAGATTTATTAAGAGAGGGTGATGTGATCTCTTCGAATTGGTGTGAGTATACTATATATACCACCAGAGATATGAAAAATTGAGCTCTATATATGTAATAAGAGTTGTAATGCATTCCACTGTTATATATAAATGAGAGAGAGAGAGATCCCTTGTGAATATCTAGGTGCTACCTATAGGTTGGATGAGATGAGGACTGAGGACTGCCCACGGGGTGCAGCCTGGTCTCCCTAATTCTCCTCTGCCTATGATGACATATCTTGTTCTAACTTCCCCTCCAGGTTGTAGCAGATACCAATATAAGTGCCATTGCCACTCAGCTTGAAAACATGTCTACAGGCCACCACTGTGGCTCACCCACTGCTGACCACCCTTCAGAAGACACGGAGTGAGTATTCTAGATGCAGAGGGCTTCTTCTGTGTGTGGGCCAAGCTCCTGAGGATTCTCCCCGATGCCAAAATATGCCCTCAAAAGGAGAGGAGAGGAAGTGCACGGTCCTTTTTCCAGCTCCTAGAGAAGGCATTAGGGTTCCCTTGCTTCCCACAAAGCTCTGTTTCACCATATAAGCTCTTAAAAGAGCATCGTTGCAGGGCCTGCACACACTGCTCTGGCCACTTCGACATGGTCCCCTGTGTCTCCCTCCCTAAGAAACCACAGACCTACATTCCCAGTGTACCAGCTTTCTTGTGCAAGGAACCATGTTCCCTCAACTTTCTAAGCTAAAATTTTATTCTGAGATTAAATCTTGTCATATTTGCTGCCATATTTCATTAAGATTCATCATTGCAGTTATAATTGTTTATTAAAGAGGTGTTTAAAGAAATGGGTTTGCAGACAGTATTTCTGCAGGCCTTATTTGTAAAGATCTGATTAGGTGGTCTACAGAAAAATCAGAAACCTGCTTTAACAACTTCCCCAGGGTGATTCTGAAGCAGTGCAAGAAGATGCATGCTTTGAGAAATCCACCTAGTGTTATTCCTTAGTACTACCAGTGCCTGGTCACTAGGAGGTGCTCAATAAATGTTTGTTGACTGATCTCAGTAGTTCATTTGAAGCATCTCATGATCACAGCCATTTGCAACTTTTGAGGGGTAGTTACATCAACTTAAATAATCTTTGAGGTTTTTTTTTTTTTTGGAAAGACTGTTAAATTAAGTTCATTCTACTTTCTTCTAACATATGCCATTGCCTGACATGGTGACATGTGCCGGTAATCCTAGTCACTTGGGAAGCTGAGGCAGGATAATACTAAATTTAAGGCCAGCCTCAGCAATTTAACAAGACCCTCAGCAACTTAGCAAGATCCTCTCTCAAAATTAAAAAAAATGAAAAGGTCTGAGTATGTAGCTCAATGGTAAAGCTCTCTGGATTCAAGCCCCAGTACCAATTTTTTGAAAAAAGCAATATATGCCATTAAAGTGTGACAAGAAAAATGCATTTTCAAGGTACAACAGCCCTTTAAAAGAAAATCAGGATGGTTATAGAAGAATAGTGTGTCTTAATATCCTTTGATGTGGCTATGGAAATAGAGGTACCCTTGTACTCTTGATTCCTGGAAAGTCAGAAACCACTAGCACAAAAGAATTTAAAAATCATTCCTAATCCCCCACTGCTAACATTTGGAGATTTTTTAAAAAGGAAAACTAATTGATTGGAAATATTAGGATACAGGGAGATAAATGGAGACAGACTCCATGTGATGTTACCAGTTAAAGAATAGAGCCTGGCTCCTCCCCTCCCCCTGCAAACACAATCCTCATTGTAAATGGGCACAATTATGAAGGCTTTAATGATTTGGTGCCCCCAGGGCGTCAAACACTGGCTTTGGGCACCTAGGTTCCCATTCCAATATCCTTGGAAATGGGGACTGTGTTTGAAAGAGGAAACATGAATCAATTATGTGTCTAGCCAGTGGGCCATTACTGAGAGTGCTCACAAGGCCACAAAGTGGAGACAGGTGGAGCTTTATTCATGACGTCATTACTGTTCAGCCAAGGGGATAATTCATCCTTATTTCAACAGACATTTACTGAGCGCCTAAGGCCAGGCACTTTACAAAAGCTAGGTCCCAAGGATTCCAACATGGATGTAGGTAAAGATATTGCCCTACTCCTTAAGGAGCTGCCAGAGAATTAGAAAAATAGGCCATAAATCCACAGTTATGAAAGAGGGGGTCAGTGTAGGAGACCTGAATGCAGTGAGGGAGGGCCCTGTGACCATGGATATGGGTATAACTCAATTAGGGAGTTAACTCAGGGAAGCTAATACCTAAGCTGAGTTTTGAAAGAACTGGAATAAGCAGGGCGACATTCAAAACAGTTAACAGTTTATATGGCAATTACTGCGGATGCCTGCTTCAGACCATGACTACATCAATAACTGGCAGCAGAGGGAACTAGCTGAAAGTCAGCCCCAAAACAAGCCACGCAGAACTGAGGAGGGAGAGAGGGAAGAATATTCTAAATCAGACAGAACCAAATATTCTAAGGTCACTTATATTCCATTTTTACAAGTTTCTCCGAATACATGAATGGCTGAGTTTACATCAGTTGACTCTGCCTCTCAGACATTCATGCTGCCACAAAACAAATGATGCTTCCCCTATCAATTGTGAACCTCCAAGCCAGGTGTAATGGTACATACCTGTAATCTCAGCTACTCGGGAGGCTGAGGCAAGAGGATCAAAGTTTAAGGCTCGCCTCAGCACTTAGTGAGACACTGTCTCAAAATAAAAAAGTGGAAAGCGCCAGGGATGTAGCTCAGTGATGCATTCCTGGGTTCAATCTCTAATACAAAAAAAAAAGTGAACCATCCACCATCAATAAGATCATAGCGGGGCGGGGGCTTATGGCAGAGTGCTTGCCTCAGTAGCACATGTGAGGCACTGGGTTTGATCCTCAGCACCACATAAAAATAAGCAAATAAAATAAAGGTATGTTGTCCATCTACAACTACAAAAATTAAGGAAAAAAAATCATAGGGCCTGAGATACCAGAATTCTTCAGGTTCTTACTCTTTGAACAATAGCATTTGGGAATAAGAAATTAGTATCACCTGAGTTTAGATTAAATTATTGGAGCCTACAAAGATAATTTAATTGTTAGCTGTGTTGTTTCTGAGAGAAAAGACTTCCACACTGGTCGAAGCTTTGAAAACCTAAATTGTGCATTTGAAACAGATTCTTTATCCATTTTGATTCATTTGGGTTTCTCTCTTCTGTCCTGGACATTAGTTCTCATCTACATGGTCATGTGAGTTTGTGACAAGCAAAATATAGCATATTGGTGTACTCAGGTGACTGAGATGAAGAGTTGACACCAGGTAGAGGAGAAAGAGGGCCACATAAGGCACACACCTGTCATCCCAGCAACTCAGGAGGCCGAGGCAGGAGGACTGCAAGTTTGAGACCAGCCTCAGCAACTTAGAGAGACCCTTAGCAACTTAATGAGACCTTGTCTTAAAATTAAATAAAAAGCAATGGGAATGTAGTTTTGTGGTAAAGTACTCCTGGGTTCAATCACCAGTACGAAAACAAACAAGACAGATACGTAATTGCAATATGGCACAATGAGGACCATCCTGGAAATTTGAACCAAAAGCAAAGGGAGCAGATGGAACTCATCCCCTTGAGGCAGTAGGAGGGCCTTCCATTGGAGGTGTGTTTTGAGATGAAAGTTCCTACCCTAGGCGGAAGTAGTGGGACAGGTGTGCCCAGGGCACGCAGGCAGGAAGGGGCAGTAGTTTCCTGAGCTAACAGGCTGCTATTACCTGTTATAGACATGAGGCCACCTGAGGACAGCAGTCTCCCACCTCGCTGATGAGACACTCTCCCTCTCTGTGCCATGCACATTCAAGATAGTTCCCTTCAGCTCTAAACAGTGCATTTAAGAGTTTAAAACCAAGCATGGGGGGAGGGGTGCTTGTGCTTGGACAATTTCAGCATCATGACTTTGTTTCTAATTAGAAAACAGTGGATTTTATGCAAGAGAAACCCTAAGCCATCAAGAATATTGTTATCCAGGCGTGGTGGCACATGCCTGTAATCCCAGCAGCTTGAGAGGAGGATCGTGAGTTCAAAGCCAGCCTCAGCAATTGGCACGGCATTAAGCAACTCAATGAGACCCTGTCTCTAAATAAAATACAAAATAGGGCTGGGGATGTGGCTCAGTGGCCTAGTGCCCCTAAATTAATCCCTTGTATCGAAAAAAAAGAATATTATTGATGAGTTGGCATGTCATGGGAAATTTAAAAATTAGTTTCCAGATTGTTAATATTATGATATGGTAAACTTACCTTCATAGCTTCGCAGTATGAAAGTCTCTCTCAAATCTGTGCTCGTCCATTAAAATGAAATTCCCTCTCCGTACCTATTCTCGAATTAAACAGCATGCATTGTGCTTTCAGAACACCTCCACCTAAGATTATTACTTTGGAGAAAGGCTCTGAAGGATTGGGGTTTAGTATTGTAGGGGGTTATGGAAGTCCCCATGGAGACCTGCCAATTTATGTCAAGACTATATTTGCAAAGGTATTTTTTTCCTTTTTACTGTACTTTTTTTTTTTAATCAAAACTAGGTGAGAATTTTTTTAAAGTGCTTTGTGTTGCTTTACTTTGGGTTACCCGTGATGTGTGCATGTCTGCCTAGTTCCTGTGAGTTTTATAAGAAATCTCTACACCAGTGAGAGAAAAGATATTTTACAGTAATAGAGTCAAGAGAATTTTCTTCGGATTCTCTCACAGGATTTGCTCACAGACTTTAAGGAGTGTCTTCTTTCAGCAACAGTTTAGGGAGTGGCACCACATTCTTTAGAAGCTGGCCCTGGAGTATTGGTCTAGGGGTCTAGATTAGAAAAAAGATTTTGCATTGTCTTTAAAGAAAAGATACCATGGCCAGCTCAATACTAGAAAGACCCCAAGTTCCATCCCCAGTGCTGGAGAAAGAAAGAGAGAGAGAGAAGAAGAAAGAGAAATGTGTCAGCCACCAAAGGTCTGAGGCAGAAAGCTCTCTACAAGCCTCAGATCAGTGTAAGAATATAAATCGCTGCGCATCACAGAAAACCTCAGGATGCTTTAGATCTGCGTGGTTTCTTTGGTCCACAACTTTGCCAAAGAGGTAACATGTTAGACTAATTCTGGGGAATACCATGTTTTTCAGGCATTAAACTACTTCCAAAAATCCTAGTTAATTAGTAAGAGGCTGAGATGTCCACTACTACTGCTGCTTCTAGAAGGCTCTTAGAGTCACTATTTTTAACTTAGAGTTTTTACACTGGAATCTGTTAAGTTTGAAGATCTCTGAAAAGTGTTTGGTGTTGATATTGCAGCCTTTGTCTTGTGGGTTTTATCACAATCATTTGTTTATGAATTGATCCAGTTGTCTGACTGTTTTATTTTCAGTGGTAGAGCTTCCCTGGGTTCAGTCCCCATAACACACACACACACACACACACACACACACACACACACAAATAAAGGTGTTCAAAAGCAGAAATCTTTATCTTAAGGTCGATCTGGTCTCTTTCTAGAAAGTTATATTATGCATTAAATATAAACTTGTTTTATATGTGCAGAGCATCACCTTTTAATTAGGCCTGCCTGAGGCCTAATATAAACCCTTAAGTCATTTAGCATTTGCTTCTGGACCACACTGGGCAGCTGCAGATATCCCCATCTGTTTCATCCTGCTGGGGTACCTGTTAAGAAGGCATATTATTATTATTATTCCCAAACACACACTGTTGAACTGCAGGTGGGTGAAAGTGGAGAGAGAAGGCAGCTCAGAAACATTGTGGATAACAGTGACACCCCACCTGCTGACACCTACAGTAGTTAAATCACACACTGACCATCCTTCCCCTAAGACATGCTTAACACTGCAGGAGGCATGACCATTCTTCTTATGTGGTCATTGTGATACTTTGCTTTTGAAAGAGTCAGCTATAAAGGTAGTGGGATGGCTACAGAGTGAGCTCGGCCCCCCATGATTTGGCAAGTCCTGCCACCCACCTTGTCCTCCATGGAGGCCCTCCAGGGTGTTCCTCATCACCGGCTCACTGTGGCCACATCAGCCATGGTCCAGAGACAGGGCTAGTTAGTCCAAAGTGAGTGCATCAGACTGTTCCCACTGTACCTATCTGCATGTTCACAGAGGCCAGTGGGACAGGAAGCCAGATCACCAGCATACACAGCTGATCATGAAATAGCTGTGTGTTGCTGGTGTGCTTTTAAAAGCAACCGCCATCGATAGGACAAGACTAGTGGGTTTAATGAATGGATTGAAGCTCACACAGGATGACCTTTTCAGAGAGCCCCACAGGCAGTGGCACATCTGTAATCCCAGCAACTCAGGAGGCTGAGGCAGGAGGAGCACAAGTTCCAGGTCAGCATGGGTAACTCAGCAAGGCCCTGTCTCAAAATAAAAAATAAAAAGGACTGGGGATGTAGGTCAGTGGTGGAGCGCCCTGGGTACCCTCCCTGCCTCCCCCCAAAAAATGAGGCCTAGGGATGTAACTCAGTGGTGGAGCACTTGCCTAGCATGCAAGAGGGCCTGGGTTTGATCTCTTGTGCTGAAAAAAATTTTTTTTTCTTTCCTTTTTTTGTTACACTAAACCAATATGTCTGAATTTTAAAGTTTTCTATAGAGAATTAAACCAAAAACTAGCAAAAGAAAAATTTTTTCCCAATGGTCACCCAGGCTGACATTGGGTTTATGATCATCCTGCCTCAGCTTCTTAAATAGCTAGAATTATGGGTTCATCTGGCTCCCCCAAAGTAATTTTGAATTGTCTAGTAATTCTGATTTTATTCCCTGAAGTCACGTATGGGATCCTGTCTTTACTTTAATGCCACTGACACTTTACTTTCTTAAAGAATTTGAATGAATCTGCAAATTATTTAATTTTGGTATTCCTCTACCCTAGTGTAGACCTGGTTTGAATATTCTTTATTGTACAATTCATACAAGAATTTTCTACCCTTTTTGTTGTTTAGAAGTTCTAGAAAATTGCCTGAGCACCACTGGCCCTCCATGCTGCTGTGGAGCACAAGAGCCTCCTGGCTCAGTTTCTGATGGACTCTGGCCAGGGCTTGGTGCCCGTGGCCCTTGTTTCCCCAGCACTTTGGCCTCCAGTAGAGGACTTTTGGCCCTGATTTTCAAGGAACTTTAACAGTTATCCCAACAGATAGAGAAAGCCCCCTATAAATTATTTTCTAGGTCGTTTATTCCCTTACTCTAATGTAGAACATTTCTAGTAATATCACAGCATTTTTAGATACTCAGTTTTAGAATGAAAAAAAAAAAAATCCACGTTTCACTTGCTTTGTTCTTTGTTCCATTTTGAAGAGCCAGGCATGACTGATATGTAATAAAAGTAGTCATTTGAAAACCTATTTAGATGATCAAATATGAAGTTGAAGCTTTTGAATAGATTACAAAGTTTTACAGATGCCACACTTTTATATCTATAACAGCTTTATTGAGGTATAATTCACATACCATGCAATTCACCCATTTAAAGGCTACACTTGCTTTTGACAGATGACAGTTCTGATGGCTTAATAACGCAATGGGAACCTTACATGAAGATGGTATTGGCAATAAGACTAACACCAGACTCAATTTTATCTGCCTTCTCTTGTATATTACGTTTCCATGAATATGACATGATATGACATCCAATCACATTTAATGCTAAGTATTGAAATAAGGTTCTACCTCTATTAAAGGGAATGTGTCAGTACATTTCTATTGGTATGTTATTTAGATGATTCATAGCTACAGTTTCTATACACCCACTATTATTCAAACAATATATCCTACATTTCTCTTTTTCTGGTGGTACTGGGGATTGAACCCAGGGCCTTGTGCATGCTAGGCAAGCACTCTACCAACTGAGCTATATTCCTAGCCCCCATTTTTCTTAATTTAAAATATTTCCTAGAAAAAAAAAAAACTTTAGTTTTTTAAGTTCCTCCTTCACACAGACACAAGTTAGAGGTTTTAATATTAATGTAATATTAAACCATTTCACCCTGGATTAAACTGGAATGTTTCTTGTTTGTAGGGAGCAGCTGCAGATGACGGCCGATTAAAGCGAGGTGATCAGATTTTAGCTGTTAATGGTGAGACCCTGGAAGGTGTCACTCATGAGCAAGCTGTCGCCATTCTAAAACACCAGAGAGGGACTGTAACCTTAACTGTGCTGTCGTGAGCCACAGGCCCTGATCACAAGACAGATGCTGTTATTTAGAATATCCATAGGAAGACGAAGTTCAGGGTGAAGATAAAAGGCCACCTCAAGTAAAATTTACAATGTTCTTTCTTACCATCTCATTCTCTCTGCTCAGGAGACAGGCTGAGGTTCCAAGTGATTTTTCCCAAACCAACAGTCATCTGCCTGATTTTTCCCAGCTTCTGTCACCTCTGGTGAAGTTAATTTCTAAAGTCTGAATGAACAAGTCTTTTCTGTTTTGCCTGTAACATCAATGTTTGCCAATTAGAAGTAACTGGTTTTGATTATATTTGCTGAAATTGGAGTTAACAGCCTCCTGTTCCTTACCCCTTCTCTCCCCCCGCCCTGTTCAGACAGATGCCTAATAGCAGCTCAGATCTCATGTGATGAACAGAAGCAAATGCTAAGCCACTTGTCATCTCACTCATGATTTACTTGTGCTAATTGTCTCTTCAAGTAAGCCAGCAAACATTAGCAGTGAAATTAATTCCCCCATGACGAAAGACCCATATTCTCCAAAGGGAAATTACTGTACTCTCTTCTGGATGACTTATAGTCAACTAAGTCTCAAATTCATTTCTCTGGATGAAACTTTACATGTTAGTCATTGGTGATTTTGATGAGTCAATTTGCAGACTGTAATCTCCTAAAGATTCTGAAAGGCTTTCTAATTGCTTTCTGAGCTACAAAAGTGCACACCACTGAGCAATTGCTCCTTCTTGACAAGAACAATTAACCTCCATGTTCTGAGTTCTAACAATGCTAACAGGTTCTAGTCTGTGAAGTTCATCTGGAGTTAATGGTGTCTCAGGCAGCATCATCCACACCCCTCAGTCTTCATATGAGGAGGTAGAAGCCCCAGAGGTCACCAAGCTTTGCCTCAAGTCAGATGAGCTCTGGGTGGCCTTGGCCTTGTGCAAAGTACAATGGCTAGTTGGATTATCCTCCCTTTACCTCCATACCAGCCCACACAACAGCACAGACTGTAGGAACTAGGTGGAACTACATGCTTCATCATTAATAACTGAGCAAACAAAGTGAGCCTAGGAACCAGCAGGAGAAAACGCCTGGCTGATGTTTCCTGGCCCCGAGGGTGCCTCTCTTTTGCTGAAGTTTGATATGCAAAGAAAGCAAGTACAGCAGAAAATATAATCCCTATAATGTTGATTATGGGCCTTCTTGTTGACATATTAGCAGGAAAAGGGCGAAGATGCTTCTTAATGAATGTTCTAGGGTCTTCTATAAAAACTTACCATGAGGATAAATATCAGAGTCAATAATAGAAGTAGTTCAGCACTATTTAACTATAAGACAATGCTGCAAATTGTTCACAGTAATTACCAAAATTTAATGGGCTTTAATTTAAAATCTTATTAATAAATATAGATTTTGCTGGGTGTCATGGTGCATACCTATAATCCCAGCCACTTGGGGGGCTGAGGCAGGAGGATGGCAAGTTTGAGGCCAGCCTCACCAACTTAGTGAGCCCCTATCTCAAAATTAAAAAAAAAAAAAAAAAAAGGACTGGGATGTAGCTCAGTGGTAGAGCACCCTGGGTTCAATTCCCAGTACCACAAAAATAAATAAGTATAGATTTTAATTGAAAATTATCTTTGAGTAGGTATAATCACAAAGTGCATTAACTCTTGTTGGAATACTTTGTGGCTATTCCAAAGTATAGAGTGCCTAAATTTTCTTTTGAAAATGTATTTCATGACTGGTATTGAGTTTTTCAAGATGATACACAGCTTTTCGAATTTCTCATATATCCAGGATCTCACCTTCCAATGCATGAGAAGCCACCAGCCTCAGAATGTTCTGTTTTAACTATGTCTGTAAGAACACCTCAGGCAGCCAAAGTGAAGTGAAGCTCAATGACACTTGAAAATGCACCTTAGATAGATACATATGCACATGATTCTTTTTAAATGTAATTCTGCTTAATTTTGATGGAATAGCCATTAAATATACATTTTTAAATAATCCCGTGGTTGTTGTGTTTCTTTACACGTTATCCTTTGGGGTCACACTATTGAAAGCCTCTTAAAGGAACTGTGATACTTGTTGCTGTTGTAACTTGGCGGAACTAGTCCTTCTCATACTTGGTTATGCCTCTGTTTGCATCACTAATAAATAATTGCCTTCCCAAAAAAGTTTTATTTGTATTGTTCTGTTTTGGTTTGGTTTTGTATCAGAACCTGCTGACAAGGTGAGAGGATAGGAAGATGGAAATTTATAAAAGTATTGGTCTTAGAGCCACATATGTTGTTCCAGCCTCATCATTTGGGTCATTTAACTATAGTGATGATATCACTGATTGGAGTTAGAAAATAAAACTGCTAAATGCATGTGTGAGATGTTTCTAAAGATTCTAAATAAATGTAGTTGACTAAGGAGCAGAATCTTTTTATAAATGAAAAAGTTTGTGCATCTGATTTTGTGTTTTCTTCAGTTTTTGGTTCCCTAAAAGAAAAAAAAAAAGAAAAGAAAAGAACTTAAATTTCCACAGGGTTTTTCAGTGTCCTGTTAAAATCTGGAATCCACTAATAGTGTCCCATGTATTTCCTGCTTTAGAATAGGTGCTTTACGAAGGAGCCCGTGCAGGAGTTCAGAGGTCAGGTCTTGGCCTCACACTGCCTGAGTTTGAATCCCCACTCACTAGGTATATGACCATGTCCGTGTCATTTCATCACTTTGTGCTTCAGTTTCTTCAATTAGAAGCAGGTGGGGGCAAGCACTGTAATGATTAAAATCCAAGTGGAACCTTAGTGCTGTGCCTGGCTCATAGTAAATGTCATATAAGTATTAGCAAAAGCGTATCATTAATGAAGGTGACCTGAAAATAGTCACTTAGCTGGCAATTAGTGGTTTTAATCAGTGATTACCCTTCCTTCCTTCCTTCCTTTCTTTCTTTCTTTTCTTTCTTCTTTTTTTTTTTCCACAGTATTAAGGGCTGAACCCAAGGCCTTTCTCATGCTAGACAAACACTCTACCACTGAGCTATATCCCCAGCCCTGGTATTGACCATTTAAAATTATGTATGTTTTGCTAGTGAGAATGTGAAGAAAGGGGAACTCTTATACATTTTTGGAGGGAATGTAAATTAATACAACCATTATGAAAAAACAGGATGGCATCACCTCAAAAAACTAAAAATAGAACTACCATGTAATCCAGCTACTGAGTATATTTCCAAAGGAAATGAAATTAGTCTATTAAAAAGATGGCTTCGCCAGGCATGGTGGCATGCACATGGCCTGTAATCCCAGCGATTTAGAAGGCTGAGACAGGAGGATCGCAAGTTCAAAGCTAACCTCAGGGGCTGTGGATATAGCTCAATTGATAGAGTGCTTTCCTCGTATGCACAAAGTCCTGGATTCAATCCCCAGTGCCACCAAAAAAAAAAAAAAAAAATGCCAGACTCAGCAATAGTGAGGCACTAAGCAACTCACTGAGACCCTGTCTCTGAATAAAATTCAAAACAAGGCTGGAGGTATGGCTTAGTGGTCAAGTGCCCCTGAGTTCAATCCCCGGTACCCCCCCCCCCCAAAAAAAATAGTACTGCATTTTTATTGCAGTACTATTCACAGTGACCAACATATGGATGCCCATCAATGGATGAATGAAAAAATATGCACAGTGGAATATTATTCAGCAATAAAAAATGAAATTCTATCATTTGCAACAATATAGATGAGAGTGGAGGATATTTTAAACAAACCAGGCATAGGAATAAAAATACTATATTATATCTTGGATTTTTAATTTCTGTATGTATGTATGCATGTATGTATTTGCAGTACCAGGACTGAACCCATGAGTGCTCTACCAATGAACCTCATCTCCAGCCCTTTTTACTTTTGAGGTAAAGTCTTGCTAAGTTGTCCAGGCTGGCCTCAAACTTTCTACCCTTCTTCCTCTGCCTCCTGAATTGCTGGGATTACAGGTGTCACCTCCACACCCAGTTAATTTGGATCTTAAATGTCTCCCAAAGGCCATGTGTTAAAGGCTTGGTCACCAGGCTGTGGCACTATTGGGAGGTGGTGGAACCTTTAAATGGGTTATATTGGAGGAAAGTTAGGTTATCGAGAACGTGTCCTTGAACCCCTTGGGATATTGGAACTCCATCCCCTTTTCACTTCCCAACTGCCATGTGGTTAACAGACCTCTGTCATGTGTGCTTGCTGTGATGTACTGTGCCACCACAGGCCCAAAGCAAAAACACCAAGTGACCATGGACTGAAAGCTCTGAAGCTATGAGCCTCAGTCCCCCACAAAAAAAATCCTTCCTTGTTTTAAGTTGTTTATCTCAGGTAATTTGTTGCAGTGACAGAAAACTAAACTCCACATGGTTCTACTCACTTGTGAAAGCTAAAATAGTCAACCTCATCAAAGAAAAGAGTAAAAAAAACCAGAAAAGGGAGCGGGGCAGGGATAGGGAAGTCAAATAATTGGTACCAGAATGCAGTGAGGATGAGTTAGTTCTGGTGTTCTGTAGCACAGTAGCATAACTAGAGTTTACAACATATCCTGTGATATATTAGAGCCAGGCACAGTGGAGCATGCTGTAATCCCAGCTACTCAGGAGGCTGAGGCAGGAGGATCACAAGTTAGAGGCCAACATGGGCTGTGGGGGACCAACCTTGCATGTGACTGGGTCACACTCCCCGGCTGGGTGCTGAGGCGCTCAGTCTCAGAAATGTGGCAGAGCTTTCCCCACCCTTGTTGGGTTCGAGGGTCGGTGTCTTGTGCATGGGTGTGTCTTGCTACAGCCCCATGGGTGAAGCTACGCTCACCTGTTCCTTTGTAATATAACCCCTTGCCCTGTTTAGGATAGAATCTTCCATGGAAGTGCCTTGTGTATGTCCCCTTCTCTTACTGAGTCCTTGGGTGTGGCCTACCCAGGTGTCAGTCAACCTGCTGACAGTGGACATCAAGAAGATAGACTCAGCCCCCTGAAACCTGACCCCTTGCTTCATTTGAATAGCTTCTCAATAAAAGGGTCAGCGTGTGCTCTTGCTCTCTCTCTTCCTGTGGACCCTTAAGGTCAGAGGAGCTGTCACAGTGACCCCAAAGAAAAAGGCATTTGTGTCTCTTGTGTGGTTATTTCATGCAGCCCAGTCAGCC